TAATGAACTGAAACTATAACAAAGGATTGATGGGATTGTGTTATTGGAAACAAATGATGACCAAAACCCATTTACGGCGAACCAGAGCCATCACCACCAAAACCGAATTTAGAAGGTAAAAGATAAGAATTACAGATGAAAAGGAAACTTAATCCAATGAGAAAAACAAAAAGTTGGTATGTTAATCATCATAAAGTTAATCATCTCGCAAATAACCAATTTAAAAGATAATGCTAGGTTAAACCTACGATGTGAATTATCATGTCAAGAATGTCATACTTAAAAAATATGAATGGGTTTGAGGTTTTTTTATTATTATTATAACGGCGGCCGCATGTGATTGGGCTGTAGCCCCAATTAAGTTTTTCGTGTGTTAACACAATATTAACCTACACGACCAATTAGTAACTAAAATCGGTTGGATTTTTGGTAGACATTAGGAGACTTTTTTTTAATATAAAACATTTTTAAACTTAATTTGAACTATTAATTATATTATAATATTAATTAATTTTTTATAAGGGGTAAAGGGTAATTAACTACCTTGAAATTGAATGAGAAAACTTAAAACTAAAATTTTTCTTCGCTTATATTATATATGATATGATATAATTATAATATGAATTTCTCAATGAACCAAAAATATTAGTATTATAATATTTGTAAGACAGAATTAATTAATGGTTCAGTTTAAGGTTGATATATATAGAAATAAAATGATAAGAAATACGGTTAAATTAAATCACTTATTCCGAAATAACATCGTAAATAAGGTGGATATGAGCATATATTAGAAATTATCATCCTCACCTGAAGAAAGGAAGTTAAAGGGGCTAGGGAAAATTGGCTTTTTCATACTTGATCTTTCCGAAAATGTTTAATTCATGCTTAAACAATTTGAAACCTACTTAATCCTTTGAATTTTTTGAATTTCAACCTTAAAGTATTGGTTTTGTGCGAAAACATATTTCCGTCTAATTAAAGTTAACTCGACGTCAAAGCTCGTCTACGTGGACGCCACGTCACCTACGTCGTGTTTTGAATGGTCGAAGTTTGTTAAAAATATTGACAAATGAGAAAACGACATCTTTTAATGTTTTTCTTCAACCCCTCGACACTTCTTCTCCTTGTTTGTTTTCTTTTTGTTTGTTTTCTTTTTGTTTCGATTTGAATGCTGATCCTGGTTTCCTTGTTTTGGATATTATGTCATCATTATATTATGAAGTATGAGTTTGGGTTTGAAACAGAGTTTAAACCACGAAAAAGGATAGTAACCAAGAATCCTAAACAGAGTTGGTATTGTCACGTTAGTTTTGTTAAATCACGTTAGTCACAAGTTTGCCAGAGTAATGGGTATGCAGAATGATTCTCCTATTAAGAATTTGTCTCTCAAGTGTATAACTTGTGTCCATCCAGATATTGTGAATCGTTGGATACGTAATGTGCTGCGGCGTGGTGTTTCAGATCTTGATCTTTTCATTGATTTTTCCTGGGACGATATCAAAGAAACTAGTTACTATCTGTCTGAAGAGATGTTCGTAAGTGGGACACTAGTTAAGCTAAAATTAAGAAGTGAACGATCTGTTGATTGGTGGCATCACGATATGGGCTTTTCTTTACCAATGCTTAAAAGTCTTGATATTGACTCGGAGATGATTTTTTGTGATGATATTGAGAAATTTCTTCCTTCTTTCCCTGTGCTTGAGGAATTACGAATGGCTAATATGGAGTGGAGAAATTGGGATGTAACTGTGTCAAGTGCAAGCCTCATAAAACTAAGTCTCCACGACACCGGTTGTGATTGTGAAGGCTTGAAACTCTGGCAAATCCAAAGAGCTTTTCGTTTGATACTCCAAGTCTGCTTTACTTAAACTACTATGAATTTGTTGCTGAGGATTATCCATTAGTTAATATGGAAAAATTATTGGAGGCTCATGAATGGCATACAAAATTTTCAGAGACTTCAATTGCCTCCTAATACTCTCGAGGTCTGTTTTCAATTTTTGTTCTTTCTTCTGGTCTAGTTGTGAAACACTAATTGTAAAATCTAGCTGGGCTTTGTTTCTTGTTTTCAGGGTTCTTAATTCTTTGTTTCTTGTTAACTTTTAAATTTTTAATTCTTTGTTTCTTGTTAACTTTCTGGTCTTCTATTTTCCTAGCAAACATAACATCAATATAAGAGACATTCAAATTCATTTGAAAAAAATAATGAAACCTGTTTTTCGAGGAGCAATAGTATTGAACAAGAAACACAAAGAGACATTCATGTCAATACCGAACGATGCAAAACAACAAAACGTAAGCCACAGACACCAAACGAAATTCTAAAATAAACGAAATTTCAAACGTAAGCCACAGCAATAGTTTGGAAAAAGAAACAAAAAGAAAAAAACTGAAACCAAACAAAATTCTAAAACAGCACTCCTCATCCTCATCTCCACGACCTTGAGGACCCGCTTATGCTCACCTAACACACTGCAAACTCATGACAAAAAAAAAGTCTGGTGAGAATCAAAACATAATTTTCGAAAACAATCAGATTACAGAATTAAAAATTGACCTTCACACTCCATTTTGTGATGGCTGGGTTTGGCTTGGTCCATCACAAAGTTCAATGACATCTACATTGCGCTTAGCCTTTGGCTTTGGAACATAGACTGTTACTGGACACTTTCTAATATTGTGGCCGACAGAACCACAACCTCCACAATGTGAGATTCTACCTTCTCTAGTCAGCTTGGTAATCTTGGCAGGAGGCTCTTGAACCACAACCTCCATCATGTTCGGCTTGAATGATATCCAAAGCTTTTCTCTTAGCTTTTCTACATTGATCGTTGGTGACAACAATGTTGTATTTATCCTCAAATGCATCTTGCATATCAGCAGGCCTGTAATCCGGATTCCTCTTGATGTCATTCAGAAACAGTCTAGCAATAACCCCATCTTTTATTACCTTGCTATGCCCATCTTTCATGCATGTGTGTTCGATGTCACAGGTCTTGATCATGTAGCTTTGAATTGGTTTCTCAAATGCACAATATATTACGAACTTACACTCTCCACCCAATGCACACTTCACCTGAGACTGCTCTGATCCCCATTTAGTATACTTCACATTGTATCCTTCCCTAAGCACATAGTCGACCACTGCATCCTTGAACTCTGCAATGCTGTCGAAGACTTGAGCAAGTTTAAGATCACCACTTCCTTTTTTTGCAAGTCAAAAATCGTCTTCCACCACCACAGTCTTCAGAGTCTGAATTCGGAGGAGTATCCTCTGAAATATCAGCTTGTTTGTCTTCGTCCTCAGCAATAGCTTCTTCCTCAAGCCTCTCATCATCACTATTTTTTTCCCGAGTTTCTTCATCCTCTTCAGGCACATGATCTTCCAAAGTGATTTCATCATGAAGACCACCTCTGTTTTGAGCATCGTCACCTTCATTTTGAACCACTAAATCAGCTACTCTCTCTGGAAAGTTATCATCACGCTCCACGAAAATATCCACAGCTTTTGTCCAGAACACAGCTTCACACATTCTTCGAAAGTTTGCTGATCCATCGCAAATCAACTTGAGCTCCGACAGCTCTTCGAATGGAAGCTTGTACCATATCCTTTGTCCAGAAAGAGAAACGTTGAAGCTCTCTCTAATCTTAGCAAACAAGTCTCTCGGATGACAAACAAGCGATTCACACTCTCCTCCAACGTATCTGGTATTGTTTTGCAGTGAAATCTCAAACTTTCCGTTGAAATAAACTTGAAACGCAGCATCTTCGGAACTAAAAACAGCAACACCAGAAAAAAAACTCAGTATTATATAATTTATATAACCCTTAACCCTGAAGTTACATAGTATTTTAGAACAAATAAGTTTGCTGATCTGTTCACCATAAACCGATCTTAACGCAGCCATGAACGAAAAGCATTAACAATGAACGCCGTAGATTAGCGTTTACATAATCTACACTAATTCAGAATGAAAAAACATTATATAAGCGTTTACCTCATGATCACGCCGAACTGAATGATAAGCAAACACAAACACGACTTCAACAGCGAAATTGCTTTTAGGGTTTGCAAACTTGAGATTGGTTCTACTCTGTTCGATGAATAACACGATAGAGAGAAGGAAACTTAAATGTCTGTTGGGGTTTAATTTTGAAGTGTGTAAAAACTGAATACGACATAGTTTCACATGTGATTTTAGGCCCATTTTTTTTATATGTTATGCCCAGAAACAAACGTTTTCTCATTTGTCAATATTTTTAACAAACTTCGACCATTCAAAACACGACGTAGGTGATGTGGCGTCCACGTAGACGAGCTTTGACGACGAGTTAACTTTAATTAGACGGAAATATGTTTTCGCACAAAGCCAATACTTTAAAGTTGAAATTCAAAGAATTCAAAAGACTAAGTAGGTTTACGCCAAAAAATTGTTTAAGCATGAGTTTAACATTTTTTGAAAGATCAAGTATGAAAAAACCAATTTTCCAAGGGGCTAGTAAAACAAAAACATAATAGTGGATTTGTATTAGTTGAGGGTCAATCTATGACGATCTTTAAAAAAAAAAAAAAACTTACAATTTTATAATTATGCGACTACAATTGGATGCTGACCCATATAAATAGGGATGTGTATTTTTCAAAAATAACTACGTTATAAATGATTTTATTTGTAACCTTTGTTTCAAAAAAGAACTAAAAGATTTATTTTCGTCGCAAAAGCTTTCTTCCAAACTCTTCAACTACTATTATTTTTCTGAAAAATGGTTGGTTGCTTGACAACCATTTGTGATTTGTCAAGCAACATGCTTTCTAAATATTTTTTCCACATTTACATGTAAGTATGTAACTGTATACTTGCTACAAAAAAAAACTAACTATTAAAAAAAAAATATTGTCAAGTTTGTAAAAACAAATAAATCCAATCCCATAAAAATGATAAAATGATTTTGTGATTTGTCAAAGTGAGACACACAAAAGCTACAATGTGGTTCTTCTACCAACGGCCACAGCTATAACAGTAATAGTAATCGTTGTTTCTAGTCCGTTTAAACGAAGCCTTCATTATCTCTATTGTAAGATTTGGGTTACTGGCTGCAAACAACTTCAACTCATCCGAGCTAACAATTTTTGATATATTTGTTTTGATAAACACTAATGCAGCGTCGTTGAGGGCGTTGTCGAAAGGGATTTGGGCAAGCTCCAAAATGTCAAGAGCATTAGACAAATTTAAAGAAGATATGAGCTGGTTTCTGCATAGATTTCGTAGATGTGGAATCTCATACTTATCGGCCGCGAGATAGAGTGACCGAGCATGCATTTCTTCACAAGGCATGGTGCCATCACTGTACAAGAACTCAACCAAAGCTTTTACCTCTTCGTGTTTCATCTCTGAGAGAGTGATTATCTCCATTCCTAACGAAGCTTTGGACTCATCCTGCTCCAGCATCTTCCTAAACACCTTAGATCTTGCGGCCTATTTAAACTCCCACATATTTGAATAAAAAAATAAACATAACATCATTAGCCACCCATAGATACTAATTCCAAGGAAGAACACAAATCTCCTTTTTTAAAAAAAAAAAATAAAGAGCATGAAAGCGTTTCAAGAACTGTTTGATGAACCGATGAAAAGGAATAAATAGAAAGAAAAAGAATAGAGACCAGAACAAGTTTGTGGGCGGAGATAGTTGCACCATCGTCACTGTCCCCTGCCTTGAGCTGCACATCGACTTGCCACTGTTCTTCCAAGACATTTGCAAATCCACCAGAGAAAATGGCTAGGCTGGTCTGTTTCTCCATAACAATATGATATTGAGTGATAGCTTGAATTTGATTGAGTTTATATGGAGAATCCGGAGATGATGGTCAAAATTATGACTTTAAATTTTTCCTTTTACGATTTCCAATACTTTGGTAATAGAGAGGACTCGGAAGAAACATTAATACACTAGGACTTCCGAATCCAAACTTTTAATGTCTCACCTCTCTTGGAATATCTATAAGTAACCAAGGTAAGAGGACCAATCAGCAGTATAAGAATTTATATGGGGTCATCAGTTCCAATATACACTTATTAAGATCACAGATTCACAGAGAAAGAAGAAGAATTCTCAGTTGTGTCAACATTAAATAAAACATCCTCAGATGTGTGATTAAAAGTGCTTAACAAGTAAAATTTAAAACTTAAACAACCAAACATTACCATTCGTTGAAAACTCTTATTCTTTTTCATCCAATAATTTCACCTTGATTCGAATACGTTGTAGATTAGTGGAACTAGGCCTCGATGGTTTCTCCATTAGCGTCGGCTTGCTTCTCCTTGAAGTTTTTAACCGCTGCCTTGATGGCGTCTTCTGCAAGCATACTGCATTGTAACTTTACTGGTGGCAACGATAGATGCTTTGCGATTTGCCTGCAAAATTTTAACCATATTGAGTGATTTCCATAAAGAAAACCATCAAGCTTTATATAATAAGATCGAAGACTCAAGGCATGCAATCACACTAATCAATCATATCATTAGACTTTGATTCCAATAACTGAAACCACAAACGAAAACGCCACTTACGAGTTCTTTATGGTTAAGACTTCCTCCATGGATTTACCCTTGATCCATTCAGTAGCTAAAAAGAAAAAGAAAAGAGAAACATTAACGAACATCACTAAACTTTATAAACTTAGCATTGAGAGGAGAGCTCAAAGTTGTTTCACCATACAAGGTGATAATTCCAAAAACTGAATATACTAACTATCACAAGATATTTATTTTGGAATTACTTAAACAAACATTTGACGAAAGATCTTTTCGAATTTTGACACACGAGATGTTAACAATCAGAAACCTCACATCCGTGACCAATATATATGACATTGACGTTCAACAGATCCACAACTGTTAAAAACATCCAATATATATTTAAAAAATACTGAACATTACATTCAACAGATCCACAACTCAACAAATCTAGCTATTACGAAAAGCCCTAATTATGCAATTAGAAGAGACAAAATCTCTCATAGAGAAAAATATACCAACGGAGGAAGCGGCAATAACGGAGCCACAACCAAAGGTCTTGAATCTGGCATCAACGATTTGACCGGAACCATCGAACTTAACCTGAAGCTTCATTACATCTCTACATTGAGGAGCTCCGACCAATCCCGTGCCAAAATTAGGATCATTGATATCAAAAGATCCAACGTTTCGAGGATTCTCATAATGGTCGATCACATTCGAATGGTACAATCAAGAAGAAGCCACAAGGAACGGTGTAGAATTTCGTGAAGAAAGCCCTAAAAGAGTCGTTTTTGCAGTTTGCCTTAACATTATTGACTCTCTCTCTCGAGCTTATTCTAGGGTTTTCTAGAGACAGATTAAATGGTTAATGGTGTTTATATATGCGAATGCTGTCTTCACCTGGAACTTACATTACACGGTGAATTAAAAGCATATTTTATTTATCCGTTTTAAATTGTTAAGGAAATTTGTAGAAAGGTATTTAAATTTGAACAAAAAAATAGATATTTATTTAACTAAAAATACAGTAAAAAAACTCTATAAATTAATAATATTGGGACTCTTATATTTTATTAATTTAGAAAGTTATTAATTTATAAAGAAATTAATTGAACGAAAACATAAATCTGGAACCTAAAAAATTTATTAATTAATCGAGTTTATTAGTTTATCGAATATTAATTTATAGAGTTTTTAAGTGGAAAATTATTGAAAAACAATTTGCTAAATAATAGTATTGACCACGGTTCATAAGACCACGCAAATCAATTGCGATATGAAATTCAGATTCTCATTTTTAATGTATTTTTATTGATTTTATTATAAAAAAAAATTTCAAAATAAAAGTTGACCTAACACATGATAGAGCCTTTACTCAAAGGTTTACCACATGTGTGCGTAATATGTACCTATGATTATCACAACATAAATTGGGTTTAACTGATGTCAAAAAAAAAAAAAAAGGGTTTAACTCAAGCATGGCTCTGCTAATAAAACCAAAACAGATGTTTCCAAAGTTACAACTCCAGCATGGTTACATGAACGGTGATTTGATCGTTTGATGTGATGCGTTCTAACGTGAAATTCACTGATGGAACTTGAGCAAGATCCTGCCAGCAAATTTAAACAAAAAAATTGTAGAGTTTAGAATGCAGCAACCTTAATTACTTCCAAAATTAAAGCAAATTAGAAAAAAGTGGCTATTAGTATTTACCTTTTACACATAGACACATGAGTCATGAAAATGTTAAGAGATTGATCAAACCAATGCAAGCGTTGGAGACCCATTCCGAGTTCTGCTATAGAATTAGGACAAATTCAACCTAAAAAAGGGGTTGTTTATTGAATCAAAACTCAAAAGTAATGACTTACCATACATGGAAACACATCCATTTTAACAACGAAAATTAGGAACTTAAGGTTTTCATAATTGATTTGGAAAATTTTACAAAAAAAATTTGGACCATTCTTGATTTAAGCGACGTACCCAGAGGGACAATCATGTACATGACTCTAGCGATATGGGACATTAACAAAAAAAAAAAACTTAAAATGGGCTCGCTTAGTATTAATTAGGTCTCTTTCAATTAATCTTCGTGAGCCCAGTAATATTATTTGACCATAAGTTAAAGGCCGTTGCTAGTAGAAACAGCGAGACAAAGGTGATTAGTTTAAAATTTCATGGTTTTGTACTTTTGTTTGCATCAAAACACATGATATACTATGCGTATTCAAATTACCACAACACACGACTTACAGTCTTACACAATGATCACCTGTTGGGTCACTTTACTCACAATAACTTCCTTACTACAAAGATTTTACAACAAAGACAAACAAACAAACAACAACAAAGTAAGGGAGTGAGTGAATCTAACAGTACCAAAATACTTTAGGCTTGAGCCCCGAGTTCGAGCAGTAAGGTGTGATTTATCGCATCAGATCCGGGTCCCTTAAACTGAATCGGACCTGACAACAAGAGAAAGCATGAAAGTTGACAAGAAAACAACAAAAGAAAGAAATCAATTACTACTCAATGCAGAGGAATGTGTGTATTTGAACAAACCAGGACTAATATATCGATTCTTCAAAGCCCATTCTTCTCGCTGCGATGCAAATTTCTTGAAAGGTGCGCCTGAGATTGATCAAAAGCTATGATTTTGAGACAGATAAAAATAGTGACCTTCCAGAATATAAGATAAAGTTTTGAGCTAAAAAGACTTCACCTTCAAGTTCAACCATAGCTTTCTTGATAACAGGCTTGAATTTACCTGCAACATATAAAGATAATGCCAATGACAAAAAAAACTATAATCTTATCAAAGATTTCACATTTTTATCAAAAGATTGTATTACTACCATGTCTTCTCTCAACATCCATCAATGAAGTCAGAGGGGTACCACCAACTGTCCATTTCTCAATAGGAGCAGCCAAATTCCCAACCTGCAAGAATCACAAAAAGGAATATAAATAAATCTTGAAATAATGAAAAAAATTGTGATAATATTTTCAAGAAAGGTTTAAACCGATGAGATTAATCCGGTCTTTCCGCTCTGGAGGAGTGATCCAGCACCGTAACCCAATGCGTAACAGTAAGTTGCATCGAAATTCGTAGGCAGTCCACATCTTCCCTCATACCTTAAAACACATCAGAATAACATATTATGAGGCTAATTAGTAGCTAATACATATATTTATATGTTTATAGGCTAACTTAGTTACCCAAAGAAGTGAGATTTCCCCATGAACTCGCGTTTGTATGTACCCTCCTCCTTCTTTTTCTCTAGCTCGGTTTCAACCATTTGAATCAGCATTTTCTCTGTCTCTATTTTAGCCACCTAAATTCATATACAGATTCAAGATAAACCGGTCTTGAGACTTGTGATTTACAGGATGTTCAAAGAAAACTTAGTTATTGGTTAAACCGGATGGTGCCAAGAAGCAGACCTGGACATTTCCATGCGGGTCTCTCTCAAGCATCAGTTGTTCCTGAATTGTTTGAGGAAGAAACTCAAAAAGATTTAAAGTCTCCTCTTTGAGATTCTTCTTCCATTGTCCTTCTTCATCAACGTTTCCTTGGGCTAAGATTTCGTTCAGTTCTGAAATAAGCTCTTGGACCTGCAAAAAGGAAACATAAATGGAAGTTGAAGAAAGAGAAGGAACTGACCATTATCTTATTGATAAATCTCTGAGACGAATCAATCATACCTCAGGGATAAAATCAATTAGACCTTCAGGAACAAGAATGACACCGTAGTTATAACCGTTTTCAGCTCTTTTACAGATCACATCAACAATGTAATCTGTAACATTTTTCAACGTAAGCTTCTTCTCGGAAACCTGCGTAAAAATGTTGGTCATTTCTAGCTCTCAAACCATATTTAGCAAACCAAAAGAGTATGAATAAAGCCTGAGTAACACAAAGGTACCTCTTCTCCAATTATGGTAATGTTTGGATGAGTTTGCAGAGCACATTCAAGTGTAATGTGAGAAGCAGCACGTCCCATAAGTCTTACGACTATAGAGATAATCAGCAGATGAAATGAAATCGTGATTTTTATCAAGATTATTTATTTAGTTAGCTTAAGGGAATATAAACTTACAATGATAGTATTTTCCCGTGGAACGTGCATCGATCATAACATTTCCAATCATTTCTGAGTATATCTGCATGAATATAATCAAGTCACAAAGAAAAGAAAACATGTTGATAAGCTTTATAAGGAAAATACATAACTAACCGATGCATCTTGAACTTACTTACCTTGCAAGCTGTATCAAACCCGAAACTTGTAGGGACTTCTTTGCTCTTCAAATCTCCATCGATTGTCTTGGGACACCCAATAACCCGAGTTTTCATGTTTTTACCTCTGAAAACAATGTGAGAAATGCAAAATCAACTAGTGAGAAAACGCCTACTCATGAAAATAAAGAGAGCCAATCCTCACTTATCTAATGGTCACTGACTCACTCTTACCTGAAGTATTCAGCGAGGAGACAAGCATTAGTATTGGAGTCATCTCCACCAATAACCACAAGGCCATCTAAGTCCATTTTTGTTACAGTCTCTTCGGCTTGTTGAAACTGCAAAGTGTAGCAAACTGGTGCTAACTAAGTCCACATCGATGGAAAGCCACAAACATGATAGATCTTGAGAAGCTTCAAGGAGAAAGAAAAGAAAATCCTTTTTACCTGTTCAGGAGTTTCAATCTTGTCTCTTCCACTGCATATCATATCAAATCCACCCTGCGAAAAGGCATAAACAGAAACTCTTAAGAATAAACACAAAAGTAAACTCTTTAATGCATATGAGCTTCTGGTTCCAACAAAACATTCTTCAAGACTTCACAAGCTTCTTTGATCTCTACTGTCTTTACCTTACAGTAACAGATTACCCAATCCGGTTTTTAATCTAATACCGAACCGAACCAAATCCGAACCTAAATAACCTAACCGAAGCGGAAATCAACTGATTTGGTTCTTTTTTCTCCGCATCCAAATAAACCGAAAGCAAACCGAACCTTATTTTTTTAGAAAATCCTTGAGATTAAAATATACACGGAGTGATGGTCAGTTTCCATTCGGTTTCTATGTTTCATGAACTGAAAATAACAAACCAAAAGCAAAGCTAACCAAACTGGAAAGAAAATAAACCACCAATTAAAACCTCAGTTTTTTTATGAAATCCTTTTAAATAAAAATATACCACATACATATATGGCCCGTTTACATTTGGTTATTATGTTTTATGAACCGAAGAAAACAAACCAACTACAATCTCAATTTCTTCAAAAGAAATCTTTTAAAATTAACATAAACCGAAGGATGGTCGGTTTCCATTTGGTTTCTCTATTTCATAAACCAAAATCTAAAAACCGGAATTGGACTCCCATTTGCTCATATACAACCCAAACAGAGACATCCACGAAAACCGGAAACAGTTTCTTCTCCATTTCTCTTACACATTAGCTCATTACCTGGTTTCTATAAGGATACACAAAATCAGAAGTAAGCTCAACAAGTTTTCCTTTCATGATTCCAGCTGGACCACCACGAAAACCAAACAAACTACTTCCTTTCGCGTGTTCCTCCAAGTAATCTATCAAACCAAACAATCTCAACTCAATTCTTTTAAAAACGAAAAAAAAAATATGATCAAGAAACATGTCGAATCTAACCGAAAATTCCGCAAATAACATTGTGTCCTCCAGGTGCTTGACCACCAGACAACACAACTCCAATTTTAAGCTTCTTTTTGTCCGATGAAATTGCACTATTAGTTTGGTCCGGAACCAATAAAGCCGATGGT